CACCCGAGTGTCATTTGATATGAAATATATCAACACGAGTTGGTAAAAGTGGAAAAATTTCGAGGCTTGCCGGGGATTTTTGCCACTTTTATCAACGAGTGTTGATATATTTGATATCAAAAGTCACGAGGGTGAGACTTTATTTATCATACAACATCATTCTTCCAACTTTTTCAATTTGTAGACAGTAATTAGCACTGTCTTCAGTGTAAAAAGTACTGCTAACAGCTTCAGTAGCAGAGCCACTAGTGATGTCATTTGATTGTGACGTCATGGTAACCAGTGATGTCACAGTGGTCTACAGCGTAGATATCGCTTGATCTCATCCAAGCGATATCCCATGTAGGAGTCAGTGTTGGATGATAAAAAGCAACAGCAAACAATGCTTAATTTCTAAATAATGAAGTGCCACTGAATAGTATTTGTCAAAGACACACCAATAGGCTACGTGGACCTTTCTTCAAATGGTATAGTTTTAAATGCGTTACTCCCCTGAGCTATAAATATTTTTTCACCGAATTTTACCTCACGAGTAGGTCTAGGGGTGCATGGGTTATACACCTTATTTTCTTCTTTTCTGTGAACACAATTTCAATCAGTTACTTCAAGATGGCCACATCTGTCCTCATTAGAAACAAATGGGTCCCTACTTCAACAGAATAACTGCCAATAGAAGTGGTATTTATTATATGTGGTTTGAGGGACAATGTGACAGATAGATTTTACGGGCGGCAAGTTTTCCTATTTCACAACCATGTCAACTTAAAACGCAAAGATCGTTTTGAATTAGCGAAGGTAATGAACCCTGTGACAACATATATTTGTTATACTCCATTTTAATCTATTGAGACTATATACCCTTAATCCTTCAATAAGCGCAACTATTTTATTTTTTAGCATTGTATTATGTTTCGTATTTTTCTTGTATCATTTTTGAAACTGCATGCCTATGAAATAACCATTTGCTCGTGTGTCATTTTGGCGCGATACCTTTGTTTGAATAACAGGCATATGACTGTGATTTGATATATCTGATTGACCAATCAGAATATAATATTCCTCTTGGTGGATGTGTCTTGGTTCCAAGGGCGATTGCACAACTATTGCCCATGTCGTAGTCTGAAGGTAGGAACGATATACGAAGCCGCCCAGTGACCTCAAGAAATGAATTACCACTGAAACATTAAACGAATAACCTTAACAACCGCGCGTACCTATCAAAAGAACTTTTTAAGCCTATATACTTATGCCTGTATACCTACCTTTATACTACGGTAGGGGGCACGGGTGGCCCAGTCGTCTAAGGCGCCGCGATTCACTTTGCAGTGTTGCGTCCCTTGGTCACGCCAGAAACCTATGATTGTGGGTTCGAATTCCGGTTCGACCCGATTATGTTTCTAGGTTTGTCAGCACCATACCCGTGGTCGTGGGTTTCACCGAAGTGGTAAACGTCTGAGACCTGCATCACTTCTGGCTTTCCTCCCACATTAACTGACACGCCGTGATATAACTGGAATACTGTTAAAAGCGGCGTTAAACCCAACTCACTCACTCACTCACCGTAACGACATGAGTAATGTAACTGATCGAAAATGTGCCAAGGTGGGGAAGGATACGCTCACCTTTTTGCGAACACCTGGTACCCTCACTATTTGATGGAGATTTATAAACACATGCTTTTGATAGAGTCGGAATTGTACACTAGAATATGTTTCTAGCCTAGATTTCTAGATTATGGGAAGGGTTATGTCGCTTCTAATATACACTATCACTGACGGAAATAGTTTGTAATGTTTACACATTTAACTGAATTTCACTGTCCACTCAGACACTAACATCTCAGTATACTTTTTAATCAGTTAGCAGTTTAGTGGCCTTTCGTTACTGACTAAAAACAGTGAAGTAGTAAACGGACATACTGTCATTGTCAGCTTCCTGTATGAGAGAAATATTATTAGGCATACAGCAACAACTTCATGAACACAAAGAATGTTAAACCTCTGTGGGATTCGAACCTGCAAACCTCTTGGTTTGTAGCTTATATATATATATAGTCGGTCACACTACCTTAAATTCTTAACATGGTCAGTGGTGTTTAAATGCTAAACATTTATCGATTATGGGAATGTTGTGTTTAAGTGGTGTTTAAGCTATGAGGCGATAGCTCTTTTAATGTGTTTAGATAGAACACACTAAATGTGCATTCCTTTCAGTACTGAAACACATTCCTTAACATGCAATGTACCAGGTAGATTTGTAAAGTCATTGTTTGCTAGCCTTCTGACCGCTGTTACAAATGACGTTCGAAGAATTCACTAGACTATTTTCTCTTGCATTGAAGTCGCTATTTTTTACCAACGATTCAAGCCACCACCTGGTTCCAGCGAGAGTGCGTGCTCAGATGACACTGCACATGGCAAGACATCTCGTGCTGCATGTGCTATTGACTTGCGGCTATCTGCTCTAAACATGCCCGACAGTGATAGTGCTCTCGCAGAGCTCATGAAGGGAGTAGTGCTCTATCATTGACTTCCGGCCTCATTTCGTTAGCCGATTATTAATAAACACACGTGACTAGTACTCCGCAAAGTGGAAGTTTGTATTGGCGGGTGATAGGGGAACGTAGTGCGTCAAAATATGTGAAGTTTTCACGATGCTCAGTTATCAAACATCGTACGAAGCAAACGTTATCCGTAAAAGCCACTAAAGCAATGTATTGTATTCTCTGCCAAGGGAGGAAACTACATTTGTCAATTACATGTACGCATTTGACGCTATGGTTGTACCAATACTTCTCTCTGGGTATTTGAAAATATTTCTATCACAGAAACTGTTCACCTTCGGTTTTTTAAACACTAAGAAAGTGTACTCCGAAATATGGGAAACTTAGAAGACTCAACGTAGTCAAAATTAATGGTATTGATATCTTTTGGGGCAAGAACGCTGACTGAATTTTTTTTAATTATCTTTCATTTTGTATAAATTACTTTTTATGATAATTTAATAGTAACAAGGAAACATAAATGGATAACATGCATGAAACGAATGTTTGAACTCGGCCTTAGTAACATATGGATATCACAAAATGTTCAAAGTCAAGGCTATTATTAAAACTATAGTTAAATATAAAGTTAACTAAAATATATACAGTTGCAATCCTGGATCTCTACAAGAGATAAATCATCGAAGGGATCCATGTATAATCGTAGAAATGACTGTTTTAATTTTGAAAACTATTAAATCTATACAGATGGAAACTATTCGAGAACATTCCTTAAGTTCAGAACCTCCAGTCACAATGTACTAGTTGTGGAAAAACCATTAACCGAAAGAAAATGCCAACTCTGCCAAGTGAGGAATTTCACTATTTGTTTATGTGTCCTTCATTTGAACAAGCGAGGAAACAACTCACTCATAAATATTTCTATATTAATCCCATGTATAAAAGGAATTTACTTTTTAATAGCCGAATATTAGGAACATTGAGAAAACGATCTAAGTTATGTAAAATAATTATGATAAAGTTTAAACCGGGAAAGAATATTTCATAAATGTTTAATACACATTTTCAGCTGTGTTCCGTACCTGGTCCGACTGATCGGAAAAATATATTTATGACATTGTAATACTGTATTCATGTACATACATTTTGTATTATCAATTTTTAATGTTGCTGCCAGCGATCTAAGTGTAATAAGGTTCAGTTCAAATATGCCCCAACTGAGCGTGTAGCGAATGTGCAGCACTTCGTGGCAATAGACGTGTTCCTGAGCAGTGTGCGTGTGTAATCAGTGCACGATGGGAATTTATATTATGTCAAACTATTTCGTGAACAACTGAGATCCAGGTTAAAATATGGAAATCCCCAAAACTCTATTGTTTGTCGTAAGATCGAGTTATCAAGCTCTTTGACTTGGCTGATTGCTTTTCACTGTGCCCCGATGGCGTGGAATGTTACTCATGGTTTCAGTCGGCCGTGATAAAGATCAGATATTTATCTATTCTGCGTTAAACATCATGTAAAAGGCTCATTTAGTTTTAGCTGACACAAGAAAAAATTGTACTTCGTACATAGCACATCTTTTGACTTAAATCATTTACTTTATAACCGCCATCACTATTTCCCTTAGAACGTGTTGCCTCGGGTACAGAGTTTATTGATGCATTTTGAAACAGTAACACAGCGATCTTTATCATACCTCCATGTAAGAATGATGAGACTGACTGGTTCAGGTGATCTTGATAAAATACTGTGTATCCCGCCAGGGAGGGAACTAAATATCTCAGCGAGTGAATAAATCCGGTATACCCTTATACCCCGCTTCGAAGCAAAAATGCCGCACGCTTTTTCCGAGTCAATGAAAGTCACGTGATAGCACAAGTTAACCTAAGATCAATCGAACACTGTTTTTTATTAATTTTTAATTTGTTTTTATTATTTTCAATTGTCGGTGACATAAATTCGTTGTAGCAGTATCATTGGGGGTACATGTGGATTGGTCCGTAATATAAAATTTAACGCTGAACGCATAAATCCACATGTGCCCCTCGTGATACTGCTACAACTAATAATGAAGACTTTTTATAATCAGACCTATGACAAATGATCGAATGCGATTGAAAGCCTTCTCTTAAATCGGATTCTGTGTCATTCTTCAAAAAGGAAGAACACTTCTAAATGACATTCAAAGACTTGCTACTTCTGAAAGTTCACATGATTCGATTTGAGTTACGTTCTCGTTTTCGAGCTAAAAACTCTTAACAAATCGGTTTGTATCTCGCTTCAGTTGAGCATTTTAGTTTGAAACAATTCTTGTCGAAGATGCAGCACTGCGGTACAGTGACCAAGAACATTGTGTTAATGTGTGCATCCGCCCACATGTTACATACAACGATCGGGATCATATTGTCTTTTCATATTTTATTTTCAATGTTATTCACGGATGGTATCGGAATATTCACTCTGAACCAGCATGGTATGTATTCAAACACCACACACCCACGTAACAGCTTGTTGGGAGGGAGTGTTCTTTTGGAATGGCTTTGACCACGTCAATGAGGTAGTGAATGCGTTGGCTTAATCGCCGCTTTAAAAAATACTGTGTCTAAATATATATACAAGCTTGTAAGTGAACAATAGGAGGAAGGTATACGTTATGCAGGTGAGTGATTAGGTTATATCTTATATCATTATATTCCCTTTAAAAAGAGTGATACACGGATATAACTTAAAATTTCCCAAAGAGATATTAGTTTCTAGTAATAGTTGTATGTTAAAACAAAGTTACGTGAACTTTAATGACAGTTGGGTAGATCAATCATTTTGCTAACACTCCAATAATTTGAGTATGGGTACTTAATCGTCCCATAGTTTTCCTTGAAAGGTCCCCTCCTTATAGTTTAAAGGAGCGGTCACCATCCCATAGTACAGCATGATTTTTGCAAAATTAATTTGTGATTCATTCTCGGGAGAAGATACAGGACATGTGTCCTATAATCTTAACTTACTTCAGCAAAATAGAACAAGATTATATCACTGTTGACCCTACGTATATTCTCAGAATTCCTCGAAGCTGTTTCATTATCAGTCTATTTGGTACTGGTCAAAGTTGATGCAGTTGATGCCATTGACGTAGATCTGATTACTGTCGACACAGTTGGGGATGCAGGTTTACTGGATTTCCTCTGAATGATGTTGTCAACGCGGGCTTCTATCTGCGCAGATGTCCTCTACGATTAAATCATTTATTAATGCATTTCGGTTATGGAAATGGTCTGGTGTAATGAACGATATTCATTCATAATTGTACCCATCCAAAACATTTTCCTTTCATTAACGACCATTCCTTATACTTAAACTAAATACTAGATTTTTCATTTTCATGTTTTAGATATCACACACATACGAAAAATTGTTCTTTTTCAAAGTGACCCCCACACAACTGAGCTTTCTGTTCTAACTTAAGGGCGTATTAATAATATTAGTAGTATTTTATGGACGAGCATATAATACAAACCAGCGCCAATTTATCAACAAACCATACCTTGTAGCTTCGTATTGCCACAGACTTGTGCCCTGTCCTCTCAGCGCTAAGCTGTTCGTCTAGGCCAGAGTCATACCGATGTGTTGCAGTGGTGGCCCTCAGGGAGTGGAAGGAATAAAAACCACTAAAACCTGCCACTTTACACAGTCGTCCGATAGTGCCTCTTAAAGGATGCAATCCATTCGGAATGTCCATACATTTCCATGTATTTTCTCTCACAAATGTCAAGGGCCTCAAGTAAAATGCGGTGTGTTTTCCGTCTTTAGGTCTGAAAATACATAAAAAACAAATAAATATAAACACGATCGAGGTGAGGTGAAATTGGGTTTAACGTCGCGTCCAAGATTATTGCACTTATATAGCGACGTGCATGTACATTTGTACGTGTGTGTGTTTGTGTGGCTGCTTGTACTAGTCCGGACTGAAGCCGATTTATAGTGCTAGTCCACTGAGATATCATGCCGCAGTTTAACATGAATACCCCACTCAGACACAGTATACTGACTCCGAGCCGACCAGTCCTTGTTTTAGCCCCTTAATGCCGAGCGCCAGACAGGGTAACAACAAGTACCATCTTTTAACTTCTTTTGGTATGACGCGGCCGAGGATCGAACCCCGGACCTCCCGCTCTCCGGGCGGACGCTCTAAACACGATCGAGTTAAAGTGAGTAATGACAATGCCCCGCGCACAGGGTGTGAGCTTATTTTGTTAACGTCATTAAACTTAATGACGTCCCAATATAGTATGACATCATAGTTAAATATTGTTCACGTTTACCATCGATGCTAACATATGTATTGCTTCAAATTAGTTAAGTCACGTGTACACCACTGTGATCAAATATAATTGGTTGGTCATGCCACTTTCAGCAATATTTCAGTTATATCGCGGCGGCCTATTAATAAATGTAAACGGGGATAAAATATAGAGTTGTTCTGGACCAAACAGCCAGTGGCTGACGGCACGAGCAACGATTTACGAAGGCTCGCCAACAACCAGAACACATTACATGACCACTTCCCCCACTCCTATGATGTCGTCTTTTAGTACAGCCAGGGTATAACGAGGACTTAATCTACCCTGCGTCACTCAATTGTAATGAAGTCATAATAATAGGTGACGTGTTATGAACACTTGAGTTGAAAATTCCAAGACAGTGAAATCAACTTGCCAATATACTCTTAAAAGTTGCTTCACTGATATCATTACCATTAAATTTTACTGTCAAATTCATTGATAACTTACCTGAGTGACATGTACTTTTCATAAAGCCGAACAAGGCACCTCTCTGGTCGTTCAAAGTTCTGGCCCACTTTGACGCATTTTCGTTCATACTGTTGATGTTTAAAGCCACCTCTGTTTTTTTTGGACACATCTTCCATGTATTTTAGACATTTCAACCCATCAGCACCTACTGTTATTTCGAACTGTGAATTCGGACCCGTTCAAAGGTATCTGTGCTCATCACCAGCTCTCAGAGCACAATTGATATTAATTAGATACCATAAAATGATTGTATCTAATAGCTATTGGGGGTACCCTCCCCCAGCATCCCCTTCTCCCACAACATGTCTTCCTGGTCCACACTGATCACTTCAGCCTGCCCTTTCTCTATGCCCTGTCTTGCCAAATATTTCATTCTCGCATCTAGGACGGACCTTAATCCTTGAAACATCGGAGATTCGAAAAAATTCAGTTGAGTGCCGTTTCTACTGGTATAATATTGTAGGGATGCGACAGTTTGATAAAGAGTATTTCCGCGATGTCCTCGCCCTTCTGAATTCTGACCTCAATCATAAAACACATCAATGTTTTATTTAACTACCTTTCCTCCTGAGCCAGTGACAAAATGTTAGGGTTCAATACCATGTCCTCTGTTCTGCCCCTCTTACGCCGTTCCTTCACCCACCCTTGAAACAAGCGAACTACATACTCTTGTTTTCAGTATTTGATGAGTATGCTGAATCACACTACTTCTTGCTGTCAATATCAGATGTTGGCTTGGCAAACCTTGCTGAACTTTAATCTACGCTTTGTTCAGAAGCGTCACTTGATTGAGGTATTTCTGATGAAGTTAATGGCGAGCGAGTGTTACAAGGTAGCAAATTAACAAGGTTAGATTCAATTGCTTGGCTTGCTTTGTACAGACCAGTGTCAGACCTGAGGAAAACCCTTCGAGATTAATCAACTCACATTTACCAACATCAAAGTTTGGAAGTTCACTTGAATCCACATTTAGTAAAGTTTCAAAATCTGAATTAACGTCCACCTCAAAAGTGTTCGTGAAACTATTTTGTGTGACAAATACATCGTTGTCGGATTCATTCGCAGTCATGCTGACAATTCTGCCTGAGTCGTTCATCGAAAATCGAAAAATATGATGTTGCATGTGCAGATATACACACCACACTCCCACAGTTTTGCACGTTTATTGGTGTGTTTTAGCGACTTGGTTTGTCATGACTATGTACAACTAGAGCACACCTCCGTTAGTTTGGCACGTGAATATCACTTGAAGATTAGTTTGAGGCATTAACTTGATCGAACTTTGTTTTAAGTAGGAGAAAGTCCTCAATTGTTCGAGGACGTCAGGCCGAGAACAAGTTTCACGTGCGAAAATAATCGCGAGATTCGGACATTCTCCTATGTAATGAACGAATTGGGATTCATTGCAACCGGTACCCCCAACCCGTAATTTATCTTTGTTCTCAAACCTGTCATTAACATATATATTTCATGATCTCTACGTTGTTTGAAGAGTATATTAGTGTCAATTTTATGTGAGAGGAAAGCCCAGAGCGACCATTATGTCTTGTTTCGTTTAAGGCAGGCAACTCTGCACGGCACATTGCAACGCCTAGGGGATAGTATGACTGCTTTGTTTTGTTTTGACAGTATATACCTACACACATGCACACACATATATAAATATATATGCCTCTTTTTGTGAATTCTAATTGATATGAGAAAACAAAGACAATATTTAAACTGTTCACATCTTCTCCATACAAAGTTATACATCGTTTCGATAGTTAATTCTGTACTGACATCTTAAACATTACGTAACGCAGAATGTATCAAGAAGAGAGAAGAAAACAGACACATGCGTCAGTCACCAAGAACTAAACGAGTTTACAGGTTTTAAGCATGTAGAGGAAATATTTCACTCGTTGAATATGCCCCAACACATAGGATAAAGATACTAAGTAATTCTGGTCTTGCCATTCTTATCCAGAGAAACGTCTAAAGGATATGGATGTCAACGCAGTCCTCGCATGTCTCCTCTTGGGCGTGGTCCAAGTATCTGCCGAGGGTGAGTCATTCCTTTCTTTGATGAATACGTAACAATCGTATGTTCAAATTGAAACGAAAACATAATTTTCACTTAAGGTGTTATTCACCATGTAATCCACTATTAAACAACACTCATTACTTCCGCGCTGATAATATGTGGAGTGAGTGAGTGGATTAGATTTTACGCCGCTTTTAACAGTATTGCATTTATATCACGACGTGTCGGCTTAAGGAGGAAAGCCAGAAGTGATGCAGGTCTCAGACGTTTACCACTTCGGTGAAACCCACGAGTACGGGTATGGTGCTGACAAACCTAGAAACATAATCGGGGCGAACCGGGATTCGAATCCACAATCATATGATTCTGGCGTGACTAAGGGACGCGACTCTGCACAGCGAATCGCGGCGCCTTAGACGACTGGGCCAGCTGTGCCCCCCGATAATATGTGGAAACAACAACGAGGATCAGCAGATCGGAGATTTCATATAACAAATTGAAATGTCAGTCAGGCATTTTTACACGCTGAAGGAAACTAGCCGTTATTTAAATATATTCATTTTGTTCTAAGAACCACATGTGGAACGTTTGGAAGAGTTGCACGGGAACATGATGACTCCAAACTACCCCAATAACTACAACAACAGCTACGAAGCGATCTGGGAACTGAATCTACCAGTGCTCAACCAAGCCTATAAACTGGTCCTGGCCATTGACGATATGGACATCGAGGGAAGTCCCACAAACTGCTTTGACTACATCAAAGTGAATGATCAGAAGTACTGTGGGACGTCACCCAAGACAATCACAGGTAATCTCTCGTGAGCGACTTGTTGTTTGCATTCAAGACTTCTGCCGTTTATTATGGCATGTCTAGTGCCGGTCCTGAAAAGATGTCCATCACAGTCGGACAGCCTGACTGTTAATGAATGTGTATTCAGGGTAGACATATTCTGGTCGGCTGTGATCCGCCAACTCTCCTTGGTTCATTAACTGATGGCCAAGTGAACACAAAGTCGACAATAAGTTTAGGAAACATGATATAAGATTTACAATTATTTTATTTGCAGTGAATGGTGTCAAGAACGGTCTGATTATTGAGTTCCACTCCGACAGCAGTGAGACGCGAAAGGGTTTCACGGCGCATTATGAAGTTGTTGAACAATAGGTAAAGGGAATACATAATGTCCTCGCGCACTATTTTCTGCTCCCACTTTTTTCAATACATTCTTCACCTTCTCGTTCAAAATACAATTTCTTATCCATCGATACATGTTCTTCCGCTATCAATACATTCGTTTTTCCTATATCTATACATCTTCTTCCTCTGTTCATACATTCTTCTCTTCTCCTATACTTACATTCTTTTCTTCTTCTCTTTCTATATATTTTTCCTTTGTATGCATACATACGTCATTCCTCTATCCATAAATTCTTCTATTCCCACATTTATATTTTCTTTTTTCCTTCATCTATACATTGTCTTCGTCTTCTGTCCGTACATTTTTCCTCTATTCATACAACCGTTATTCTTCTTTATATACATTTCTTCCTGTATTCATACGTACTTCTTTCTTCTATCCATACATTTTTATATTCATGTATCCACACTGTCTTCTTTCCTCTATCCATACATTCCTTTCCCTCTATTTATAACTTTCTTCCCCTATACATATTCTTTTCTCCTCTATCCATAGACTCTTCTCTTCAGCTTATCCACACATTGCGTTTTCCACTACACGTAGTTTTCCTATCCATTATTCCGATATCGTTCATTCTTTTACCTAATATTCATTATGTTCCTTTTTGCCTTCGATCAATTTATTGCTTTCAGTAGTGTTTCATTCGTGCCTGTTTCATTAATATTACTAATTGACATTTTGCAGACTACGGGACCTTGCAGCAAGAAGTTTTGTCACGCAATCGCAAAGCGATGGATTTGTCACATTTCGGTTTCAAAACTCACCATGAGTATTAAAATGGTTTGAATGCCAATCTGACTATGTCTTCCATCTTGTTGAGACAAAACAGTCAACAGATATATCTACAATGTCAAGATAGAGCTGACCATGACGCATAATTCAGGATCCGCTCATTGGCACAATTTCTCCACAACAATATGAACATGCATTCCTAGGACTAAAGTGCACTTTAACATCCATGCAGTCTCCTCTTCCTCCATCCATATATTACTCTCCTCCATCCATACGTTACTCTCTTCCAGCCATACATTACTCTCCTCCAGCCATACATTACTTTCCTCCAGCCATACATTATTCTCCTCCATCCATACATTACTCTCTTCTATCCATACATTACTCTCCTCCAGCCATACATTTCTCTCCTCCAACCATACATTACTCTCTTCTATCCATATATTACTCTCCTCCAGCCAGACATTACTCTCCTCCAGCCATACATTATTCTCTTCCAGCCATACATTACTCTCCTCCAGCCATACATTACTCTCCTCCAGCCATACATTATTCTCCTCCATCCATACATTACTCTCTTCTATCCATACATTACTCTCCTCCAGCCATACATTTCTCTCCTCCAACCATACATTACTCTCCTCCAGCCATACATTATTCTCCTCCATCCATACATTATTCTCCTCCATCCATACATTACTCTCTTCTATCCATACATTACTCTCCTCCAGCCATACATTTCTCTCCTCCAACCATACATTACTCTCTTCTATCCATATATTACTCTCCTCCATTCAAACATTACTCTCTTCTATCCATACATTATTCTCCTCCATCCATACATTACTCTCTTCTATCCATACATTACTCTCCTCCATTCAAACATTACTCTCTTACAGCCATACATTACTCTCCTCCAGCCATACATTATTCTCCTCCATCCATACATTACTCTCTTCTATCCATATATTATTTTCCACCATCCATACATTACTCTCTTTCATTCAGACATTACTCTCCTCTATCCATACATTTCTCTCTTCTATCCATACATTACTCTTCTCCAGCCAGACATTACTCTCCTCTATCCATACATTACTCTCTTCTATCCATACATTACTCTCCTCCAGCCAGACATTACTCTCCTCTATCCATACATTACTCTCTTCTATCCATACATTACTCTTCTCCAGCCAGACATTACTCTCCTCTATCCATACATTTCTCTCTTCTATCCATACATTACTCTTCTCCAGCCAGACATTACTCTCCTCTATCCATACATTACTCTCTTCTATCCATACATTACTCTCCTCCAGCCAGACATTACTCTCCTCTATCCATACATTTCTCTCTTCTATCCATACATTACTCTTCTCCAGCCAGACATTACTCTCCTCTATCCATACATTACTCTCTTCTATCCATACATTACTCTCCTCCAGCCAGACATTACTCTCCTCTATCCATACATTACTCTCTTCTATCCATACATTACTCTTCTCCAGCCAGACATTACTCTCCTCTATCCATACATTACTCTCTTCTATCCATACATTACTCTCCTCCAGCCATACATTACTCTCCTCCAGCCATACATTACTCTCCTCCAGCCATACATTATTCTCCTCCATCCATACATTACTCTCTTCCATTCAGACATTACTCTCCTCCAGTCATACTTTACACTCATTCATCCATACATTATTCTACACCATCCATACATTACTCTTCTCCAGCCATACATTACTCTCCTCTAGTCATGCATTACTCTCCTCTATCCATACATTATTCTCCTCCATCCATACATTACTCTCCTCCATCCATACATTACTCTCTTCCATTCAGACATTTCTCTTCTCTGTCCTTATAGTTTCCCAATATCCAGACATTCTTCTTTTCTCTGCTGATACATTCTTTTCTTTCTCTACCCACATGGCTGCATTATTTAGAATCCATTGACTGATACCTAGTCGGGAAGTGAACCTTGGCTCAACTAACGGGAGCATGGGAGCAGAAGTAAAAACCATATTGAATCTCGTGATGAAATGATTTCGATTATTAATTTTTAAGAATCTTTCAGAGAAAAATGTTTCTCATATCATTTTGGTTTTCAAGCATTCCGGGAAAGATTATTTCTTTATATATCGAATGACAAATTGAGCACGAAGGTACGATCTGTGTCAAATAAAAGCGTCAAAGGCGTTGTTGATAAATATAGCACACTAATACAGTGAAACCTCGATAACTGAAAAGAATCGACGTTCCGCTTGTCTTAATATATGGATAGTCCCGAACGTCTTCCGGGCTCCTGTTGTATATTCAATACGAACATTTATTAGTTAATGGCCGAAATCACTTTTAAAGTGGGGCAGTCGAAAGAACATAAGTCAGATCAGATCAGATGGGAGTACTTTTTGAATTTCATATTGCATCAGATGTGAGGGTACTGCTGGCCCAGGCGTCTAAGGTGCCACAATTTGCTGTACAGAGATGAGCACATTAGGAGGGCAAGAAACCTCTGACAGTGGATGCGAGTCCAAGATTCAGCTTGATCATGTTTCTACGTTTGTCAGGACCATACGCCTGCTAGTGGGTTTCTACAAAGGTGTAAACGTCCAAGATCTGAATCACTTTGGCTTTCCTTCCACATCAAGTTGACACGCCGTGATATAACAAATGCCGTTCAAACGAGCGTTAAACCTCACCCACCCACTCGCCTTTTCTCCCACATTCAGACAATATTTCGTGATATAACTTTAATTAGGTTCAAAGAGACGTTAAACCTATCTTCTCTGCCTTACTCACCCCTCATTCCCCTTCTCACTCGCTCACTCGCTCATGTCATACAGTCCTCACCGCCAAATGCTTACTTTACTGCAAAGATACATTCTGTGGAAAACCTTACGTAGGCAGGCAAATATGTAAAAGATCATATTGAATACGTACGAAAAACGTAAATCGAAGCACACTTCACCGCATCCTGTCAGTGCAGAAAAATGGATCGCTCCGACTGGAAACCGTTTTGGATATTGGTCCATAGTTGGCTTTATATTCAAAGCTCAACTAACTTGCTACCAAGCTGATGGATTTGATGTCGAATCTTTCATCGATGCAAGGGGCTTGTAATAAAACAACACGCCACCATGATACCAGTAATCACTACTGAGCGTTCAATATTGTACATTTCGACAAAAATGTTTAAGTTTGAATATATTTTTTTTAATGACGTGATAAGAGCAGACTGGTCATTCTCCGTGACTTGGCCGTTGTGTGTGTCATCGTACCAGATAACCAGGAACATTGATCATTCTGTCAATTAACGGACAGTTTGGCCCGGACTCGATGATTCAAATGCCTCTGTGATATAGCTGGAATGATGCTGACGGATGCGTTGAACAACCAACGAACATTCAACGAGTCGAAAGGATCAAAATATCCTATATCTGAGACGCACGTAAAATCATTTTTGGGTGTGTAAATGATTTAGTGCATGAGTAGGTTGAGGTCGTTTTCAACAACTGTGTTGCTAAACGAACATATTTCTCAAGTGTTCCTCTTCACTTGTGTGTTTGTTTGTTTGTTGTTTAACGCGTCGTGCCCAGCAATATTTTAGCTTTATGACGGCGGTCAGTAAATAATCGAGTCTGGACCCGACAATGCAATCTTCGCAACTGGGATACGATGACATGCATCACAACATTAACCGGGAACCAGATACTGTCGCGCCAAACATGAGTACTCTGCAGGCGACCATGCAGGTATATCTGTCATCTTGTCGATTTCAGACCATCTGAACCGAATGTTCAACTCAAGTAGATTTCGCCTGAATGAAAACCAGTAAAGTACAAGACAGATGTCCTGGCGGCACAACACTGTCACGTTGTCTCACATAAACATAAGCAAACATAATGTAGTATATATCTTTATTGCTGCACCTGCCAACGCATATCCCATTAAAGTACAAAAACAGCAATATTTTGAGACCGACCCCAACTCAGGTGACTTTTGCCCCTGTGAGCATGCACGGGACGGTGTGAGGTCATTACCTCGGGACAGGTGTCAGGTACTAGTAATTCCCTCAGGCAAAAGGCTGGTTTATACATGCATGACAACACACGAATATTTTATCTTCATTTGACCTGTAAAAGCTCCTTTTTAATCCAATCACAGTGTCAGTTAGGATAGGCTAGATTATGTATATTTGCATTATTTTGATATATACTATTTTCATAGCCCTATCATTCGTCTTTATTAAATGAAGCCAGAAAAGCATTTTTCTAGCATTTCCGACTTACTTTAGTTACTAGTATTGATAATGATATAAGCACAGGTGTCACAATACACACCAAACGTCTCAATGACAATACTATTATTGAATTGATACAATCAATGAGTTCAATCGCGTGCCCTTTAGTGAGTATTAATCAAATCTCACAGGCTGATAATAAAAGGGACAAAACCCTTTCCATATTCTTGAGAAAGATCTACCAAAAGCAGAGTCGACTGAATGATTCCGACTATATCATTGGCATGTGTTAATGAAACAATATCAAATAGTGATGATGACACCAGATGTTCGCGTAAAACTGTACGTAGCCTCCCCGCCGGTGGCAGCCGTAACAAGCACATGCATATGCAAGTCAAATGTCTATCTAAAAAAACCACAAGGGGACATTTGGTACAATTCAAAATAAGGAATTGCATCGGGCATCATTTGTTTCACTGATGCATCAAATTGGGAAATGAGCATGCCTGATTGTATTTCAAAAGTTGTGAATGTAGAAACCAAAGGCTGCTGGAATGTTGCTGAACATTAAACGAAAGTTGACTATTGGAATGATCAAGTCACCCCTCTTGTCATACGGCCTTGTGGCTATTTCTCTGTCATTTTGAATCTTTTTTTATATGCCTAAATATGAAACAGGTGAGGCGGTTTCATTGTTATATGTAAAGGGGGTTGGCTATTTGAACGTGATCAGATCATGGATATTCCTGAAGCTTAAGTTAAACGTCTTGGCTAAGTTCCCTTGTATTGATTTTGCAAGTGAAGCGGATACTCTGTTTTGTATACATAATGAAGCAGATCAGCAAGTAAGGGGGCACACTTGGTGCCCTGGGAACTCCCGTTTCTTGCCTAAATGTGCTATTCCCAAGTTCTACATAGATGTTAATATGTATTAGGACGTCGAGATTTTCACAACTAGTTTTCACGGACACTCTGAAGTCGTGCAGGAAATATTCATGAAACAATTCCCAGAGCCAGACTTAACCGAGCTTCTTCAGTCGTATGAATTTGTTTCACTGCTACAACAGTACCAGACATTCATTGACATCAAGGCAAAAATCATGCAAAAAAACATTTGCATTTTGGAATTCCTTCATGTATATGATCCAGCTTCTCTTGCACTTCCCCAGGGCAGCAAGGGACGGAGATACCTGCTACATTTCCAGCATGTTTTGAAGAATATGATTTCTCTTGCGACACGTTATTCTACCAAGCAAGTCGTCTTTGTTGTTTGTAGTTTCCATCCATCACTATATAGGGAAGTGAAAGAGCATAGATAGCATCAGCTGGGGCACGGAAGATCAAAATCACACGAAAAAGATCAACCTACACATGGATATGTATATCAGTATCTAAGTAATCTTTCTCAATTTGGCATGCTTGTCCAGTGACTTGCTGATAACTGACGTTGACTCAGAGGTACCCTACGCCTTAGAATTAAATATGGACAAAACTAAATATGAAACAGTCATCAATTATTTATTTACCCCGAGGGTCATCCACCAAAACACGGTCAACCATTAATAAACGGTTGCATTTGTTTATGTCAAAATATACCACAACACGCCACAATTAACATTAAGCGAAGGAATTTCAGTGTGAAGAGATAGTCCCACCTGTAACCAGTACCATAAACATCGATACCGCCCACAATCTTGAGTTGAACAATAGGCGCAGAATTAGAGGAGACCACATGCTTTAGGCATGGGTCAATGGAAACAATCAGACCCGTGAAAATCCAGATTAGAATAGGTCTTCAGCAACCCATTCTTGACGTAACAGGCGACTATATGCTTGTCGTAAGAGGCGACTAACAGGATCGGGTGGTCAGGCTCGAATGTCCACATGTCAGGTCAGGTTGATGCATGTCATCGATCCCAATTGTGTGGATCGATGCTGATGATGTCAATCACTGGATTGTCTGGTTCAGACTCGATTATTTACAGACCGCCGTCATATAGCTGTAATATTGCTGAGTGCGGCGTTAAACAACAAACAAACAAAAGAAACAATCCTTAATGAACTTTGCAAACGTGTGTGCCCAATGGGTTCCTGGAATGCTTTCGGATACAATAAAGTCTAAGTGGGTCACCACCTCATATGCCATGTTAACCAAATATAATGGCAACCCAGAAAATCCTAATTTAGACAAGTGATAGATGAGATCTGGATCCATCACCCCGAGAGCAAATATACGGTGGCCCATAAGGGACATGGAGTCTGTTTTTCCATATTTTGATATGTCACTTACATTTATCGTAACCTTTTGCAAATTAACACGATTTCTCTTACAAATATGTGATAAATCACGTGTAAAGATAATATTGAATCGCTGAAAAACGAAACGAAAATGTCAAAAACTAAAAT